TCTGCCGCCTGCCAGCTGAAAGCGAGAGCTCCGAGATCTGCTTGAACGGACCCGGCAGGGCGCACCGGAGAGGAGCACGGCTTGGCCGGGCCGCGGCAGCAGCGCCGGGCTGCGCCGGGGACGGCCACGATGCACCGCGCTACAGGAAGCAGCCGCTGTGCGTGCCGGTGAAGCCGGGAGCAGACCCCCAGCCGTGTCAGCTTGGCGGATGGACCCGAGGTGGTTTCTGAGCAGAGCACGTCCTTCCCAGGCAGGGTACGTTGCTGTGGGCGTGCACGAGGCCGTCGCGCATCGCCGTGGGGCATGGGGCAAGCTGCTCGGGACAGGTAAGACATTCGGCGCGTGAGGGAGCTGGTTGCTCGAGGGGTTTCGCAGTTGGCCTTCTCTGGCAAGCACAGGGCGCCAGTTACAACACGTTACACAAATCCCCTCCATCCTCACTGGCATCCTTCTGTGCTAGGGCAGGGGAAAGAGGCTCAACGTGTTGCCCCAGAACCTGTAAAACATGACGGATGTTTTCCACGCTCATGGGTCAGTCGCGTGCACAGCACCAAACCAAACGCATTGGCTCCTGTTGGAGACGTTCGTGTTTGAGTCACCCTGTTCTTTCCCAAATACCACTGAGTTCGGCTGTGCTCTGCACGTCCTGTTGCAGATGGGTGGTTCCTCAAGCACATGTCGGGGTGGACAGGACCAGCATGCATGCTGGCTCATCTTTCCAACCCAGAGTTTCCTTTCTGCCCGTGATAAATTAATTTCAGAATGAAATATCAGAGAAAAGCAAAAAAAAAATGTGATAATACTCTTAGTAGTAAAAAGTGATAATACTCTTAGTGTTGTTTATGTCCTTTTTCTGCATTTTTATGTCAGAATATATGGCATGCAGAACAGAAACAGGAATGGTGACAGTACGGTTTTCCCTCTTGGAGCCATTGTGGCAGTAGTAAAACATTCCAGGTTATTTTGATAAAGCGGTCTGAGAAGTGGCTGAACGCTTCTGACTAGATCAAGGGCACATTTCTACCACATTGCAAACCTGGCCTGTTTTCCTCCCTGAAAAAAAGGCAAAGGACAAAACATGGGAAACTGCTGGTTTGTGGTAACCTGCAGCGTTCACCGAGGATGGAAACCCCAAGTCCTGCAAAACAAAACAGGTCCTTGAAATCGTTGGTATGTGGTAGCCACCTGAAATAGCCTTTCTTGCACCTTCTGAATCAAACGACCTGTTTGATGTCCAATATAGGTGTTGTAAACCCTCCGGTTGGTTCCCTCTGTGAGTGGATTGGAAATGCCCTGTGTCTCACCTCCACGCTTGGAGGTCTCCGCGTGCTGATGGAGAGGTCCTTCATTCTGCGTCTCTGAAAGACAAGTGCATGGAGGTGACAACAGCTTCATCTTGTCATGTTTGGGAACGTCACCTTCTGCACCCAGCGCCTGCCTCTTAGGCCAACCGTCTGTTTTCTTTTTTCTTTAGTCCTCTTTTTTTTTTTTTCCCATTGGTAGTGTCACACTGACCTGGGACATCTAATTTTCTGCCTCCCTGAGTATTTTCCAATTACGACACATTAGTGCGGTCTTTGATCTAGCGCTGCACCCGCCGCCTTCCCACGCCACTCACCGGTGGCATTTCCCCACGACTATCCCCTTTCCTCCCAGCGCTTGAAATCCCCCCGTACACGGACGCAGCCCGCGGGCGGCCGAGGCGCTGTGCGCGTGGTCAGAGCGACGCGGCTCGGGAGGCTTTTCCCAGCCCCAGCGGGCCGGGATGGGCTGGCAGAGCCTGAGGAACGGCTGCCCCAAACCCCCGTTTTCCGTCGCGGCGGGAGCTGTGCACGCGCGTTAGCCTGGGTGAGGAGGCTGCTTGGCAGCAGCCGCTGTCGCTTTGATCTGTGCCTGGCAGGCCATCCTTGGGCTCTTCCCCCAGGCTAGAAACAGGGAGGGCAAATGGCCACAAAACACGCAAATTCGGGGGTCATGCATTGTGCTTTGGCCCAGGATTGCGGCTGCTCCCGTGGATGCGAGCAAGCCGCATCTCGCTCCCCATCCACCCTTCGGCACCGGCAAAGGGAGGCTGTTGGCATTACGTACAGCACCTCTGGCTTTTGGACAGGTGGGAGCAGCACCCAGGGCTCACGGGGACGGTGCCGAGCTCTCAGGATTGCAGCAGTCATGCAAGGAGCGCCCTGTACCCTTCCCCGTGCGTTATTTCATGGCAAGGCTCCCTTGATCCTGTGCAAACAGCCCCAGTCTTAGCAAGGAGTTGATGATTTAAATGTTTGTGACATGGAGTAGAAATCAGACGCTGCTGCTGCTGCTTGCCAGCGTGGTGCTCAGCTGCCTGGAGCTTCCTACTGCTTTTTCAAATGCAGGACGGGGTAAAATGCTAGGTATGAATTACGGGACTCCAAGACGGCCTTGAGGCCTACGAACACAGGCATGAGGTGGGATGATGTGCGGTAGGAGCTGTTCCAGGGGCCTGTGCCCTCCGCACGCGATTGCAGCTCTTTGGCCAACATCTAACGGCATCCAAGGCGCTTCCTGGACTCACCTTAGGTGCTCCCAGCACTACAGCTGCATTCAGTCTCAAGCAGAAAGTACTTCCTGAGGTGAAATGAGGCTTTCTTTACTTCAGATATTTATTCCCCCCAACATATTAATAGTCAGCTGAGGGAAAGCAAAGGTGCCTGTCGCACCTGGGCTTCCAAGCAGATAGGGCTTGTCTCTCCAAGCCTTCTTGTGTGCGGAAGAGGTGCAAAATCCTGACCGCAGTGCTGCTGCTGGCCTCACATCCTTGGGGCAGCCTGGATTGCTCTTGGTTTCAGTGACTTGGCCCCCTGCAGACAGAGCAGCGTTTCGGGGGTCCACTCGGCCACCCTCTTTGTACAAGGTGGCCTTTAACCTGATACCCCCGAGGCCCTGTTAATAAGGCTCAGCATCAGCTCAGCTGTGAGGATCACTCCTTTGCTCTTCAAACTGGCCCTGAGCTGGAAAAAGGATTAAATAAGGAGCAGCCAAGAGCTTCCGAGAGCTTCCAGAGGTGAGCGCCCGTGTGCTCACAGTTTGTCCTGAACAGAGGTGGCAAACGGGGGCAAATAGCTGGAAGGAGCGGGTCAGATCTCTCAGCTAAATGTTAAGACAGAATGTTGTCAGTGGCCTGTTTTACAGAGCAGCGTCTGCTACCTGAGGAGGCTCGTAAGGACTCCAACACCTCTTTGGGCCCTCAAAAGTCACGCAAGAGCATTTAAGAATAGTAAGTGTGTGTGTGTGGGGAGGGAGGGCTTCAATTTAATGTCTCGCTTGAGGAGGAAGGGCCGTGACCCACCTGACGGAGATGCCTGTGAGCTGAGCATCTTGTCGCATAGTTTCCAACACAGGAAACCTCGCTGCCTGCTAGGGTTCACGGAGACACCCGACCGCTTTCCTTCTGCAGGAGGAGCACGGGTTCGCTGCAGGAAGATTTGCCTGATCTCCACGGGGCTGGTTCCTGCGGTGGCATTGCCCTCCGTCACAGGCTCTCGCCCTGTGCTGGCGCTTGAGGACGGGGGGATTCACAGCCCTGGCAGGTCACTGCTCATTGAAGCTGAGGTCGGAGGGAGTGTTGCAGTTCCTGCCTCCTAGCTCTGCCCTCGGCGGAATTACTAGGGGTCCCTAATTAGTTTTGAATTGATTCCCTCTAATTCTGCCCATTATTCCTAGGCCTCTTTCAGAGCTTTCTCTTTTCAGACTGGGTGTCACTCCCTGAGCTTTGCTTGTTTTGTATTGATTTAGTTTATTTACTGCTATTTCCAGAGCAGATCTGAAGCGTCATACCAAAATTCCCTCTGTCAGCATTTAAAAACCAGAGTGCAGGCTATTATAATTTGCAGTTTATCATCGTGTCCACGCAATTACGGGCCAGCATTGCGCAAATTCAGGGAAATCATCTGGCGAGATACCGCGCTGAATTATTCAAGTGAATGAAAGCAAAACTGCTGTGTGATAGCTGGAGAGTTGTACCACTTCCCTCTGCTTTCCCAGACGCTCAGGAAATGGGTAAGCACTGAGTTATAAGTTGCTCCTTACACTGAGTTGTGTCACGGGAAATATTTGTTTCCACAGCAATCTGATCTGTGTAATGCTCAGCTCTAGGGTCTTATAGGGCACCTGTGAAAAAGCTTGGCACTTGGATCTTTCTGCATGTGCCTCTCTCCACTTGTATTTAGGTTTCATTCTTCTCCCCAACCTCTCTCTCTCTTTCCCCCTTGGAAAAAAAAAAACCCTGTAAAATCCATTCCATTTTCTCAGCGTGAAGGACAACCCGCGTACAAGGCTGCAGCTCCTGACCGCAGCGCGGGCTGGTGGCACAGGACCTGCCGAGATCCACGTGCACTTGGGCCACCAGCAGATCTCCCCGAAGCAGTTCAGCTGTCGGGGCACTGTGCAGTGCATGGATTAGAAGGAGCCCAAGTAGGAGGTACACGCTACGACCTGTGCTTGGGGAATTAGTTCGAGTTGGGCTTGTACTGCAAAACCAGTCTGCTTTTAGGGGGTACCAGGAGGCCAAGGCACGTGCTGGGAGCAGCCACCTGCACAGAGACAGGAGCCCCCCTGGTTTGGGGGAGCCACGGGGCAGGGAGCCACGGGGCAGGGAGGGCACTGCGGGCCTGGCGCTGCTCCGTCTTTCCCGGGCTCCAGGCGCCATCTCTTGGAGCTCTGCTGCACAGGGGCACTCTGCACTTCAGACAGCAGTGTGGCCGGCATCGCCGTGGCCCCTGCGAGCGCCCTGAGAGCTGCAGCCTCTGCCTGGCTTTCGGCATGGGCAAGATGCCCTGTGCGAGGGGGTTAATAATGGCAGCGAGCTGGGAGGGCCTGGGGTACAGATCGGTGAAGCTGCGGCCCCGTTCAGGACTTGCAACGGCGCCACGGGTTTGTTTGGCTCTTTATTGCAGCGCGGGCTGGTCCACGCGTCCCGCTGCCCACGCCCCTTGACTGGCGCTGTGCGCGCGGGAGACGCTGCTGCCTCATGCCTGCCCCATCTCGGTGCCCACCTGCAAGAGAGGCAGAGGGTCCCTGAGTGGGCTTCGGGCCGCGGGGCAGCTCCCGCTTCGGGGCGGGTTTTTCTGCTGGGCACAGTGGCGGGGCGGCGCATTGGCCGAGCAGCAGTGGGTGGCGAAGTCGGCCCGTCGCTCTGCCAGCTCCGCCAGGTGCTCGGGCGCCGTGCCAGGGCCCGCGCTCTGCACCAGGGCCTCCTTCACCCTGTGGCGCAGAAGCACGAGGGGTCAGGGCGCCTGCTGGCGACCTTTGCATGCCCGGCGTCTCGGAGCGCCCTCCGTCCCTCACCGCTTCTTGAAGTCGAGGAAATCCAGCCTGTGGTAAAGGCTGCACAGCTCATCCGCCTTCGCCACGAAGGCGAGGAGCTCTCCTCTCACCTGCTGCTTCTGTGGGGGCAAGGAGAGAGGGTGTTTCCAGCCTGGGCCGGGGTCGGAAAAGCCCTTTGGGGGATCCGATGGGGGATTTGAGGCCGCAAAGGGAGGCTGCCCCCAGTGCCCACGCTCACCTTGCTGTCGAGGCAGGCAGAGGAGTCCTTGGTGCTGCAGCCCTGCTCCCTGGCCTCCTTGCACGTGTCATACAGCTTGCTGAGGAAGACGTCGGGCACGCTGGGGTGCCGCCGCGCCGTCTCAAACATGTATCTGGGGCAGAGCAGGGGGTGCGGGTCACGGGGCTGCGTGTCCTCTGGCACCTCAAGAGCCTTTCACGTCAGGGACAGAAACGCCGGGCACCGCTAGCCCTGCCCTGTCAGGCTGCTCTCCGCTTCCCGCT